GAATCTTGAGTAAACCAGTTTAATTTGATATTCTAAATGGTCGAATGCTTAAACGCCCACAAGACCCCTTGAGGCCTTAAATCAATTCACACTCAGCCCAGCTCTGGGGACTTCCACACACATTATGATCGTGGGTATTTGCTAATTAAAATATAACAAACGCCCACCGCACTTTCGGCTCAGTAACACAACCAAACCAAGTGTCTGTCCCACCAAAAATTAGGTGGAGAGTAGAACGTCGCTCCGTCTGAGATTCAATTAAAAATGATGTGTGAATGATTTTTTATGAAGTTCATAATCAAATTGTACGCAAAGTGTTGCCAATAAAAATTCAAAACACGTCTCAATGATGATGATGATAATGGCCGTCTAGAGTTTTGGGCGGTATTGCTAATGGGTGAGTGGATGACTGGATGGCTGGATGAATGGGTGGGTGGGTCTTTTAGTCTTGGGCATACTCGTAACATCGGTCCGACCTTAATGTGCCATTTGGCATGCACATGCTAATCCTTTTTGGAAACATTTTGCATTGCGTCGTTGTTGCGCTTGTTTCGTAATAATGGCAAATTGTCGTTGTCGTTACATAGATGGGTAGAAGGGTGGTGGGGAAGGAGGGGGGGGGGGGGGTGGGTAGGAGGGTGTGGGCAACAAATGCTTCCATACACACTGTAAATAGCAGTTGACCCTGAAACACGATGCACGATAATAGCCGTCATCAACACTGCCCCCAGAGCCTGTCGGGTGTTGCCTGTCAGCAGCGCACTGCCGTTCCCTTGCCCCATCCCTAAATAGCTGCTAAACTGTGTGTGTGTTGGTGTGTGTGCTCGTGTCTAAAAGCATTTCATGTTTGACTTTCACTTGCAGCTGTGACGAAGCTCAGTCGCTACATCGGTGCGCCTGTCAGCGGCAAACATGGCTGTAAGTCGTTGTTTTTATTGCTGTTGCAATGGTTGTTGTTGTTGTTGTGGGCATTGTTTTGGCCATAATTTGCATCGATTTGCACAGTGACACCAAATATTGGCTAGAAATGTTATCAAACATTATGCTGTAAATAAAAATTTAAAAAACAGGTATTTCTAAGATTCTGTAGAGTTGCTTAAAATAAATCGACAATACGGTAATCGATAACTTTATATGTACATTAAAGTTTTAGTTTGATAATAAAAGTAATATACAATTAAGATGTGCTTCCCATAAATTTTAAAATAAAACTTTAAAATCAAAGACATTTTTTATCATTTAATGTTAAAACAGTTAATGTTTTGATTCTGATTGATTAAATAAACCTAAGCCAACGATGATTTCAATTCCAGACTCACACACTAAGTGGACAATGTGTCCGCCTTTTTTGGAGCAACGGCAAAGCTAATTCTTTAAAATACAGATACTTACATATTTATATAAATGTGAGATATATTTTAGTCATAAATAATAAGTCAAGGAAGAAAAGAATATGGCAGCAAATTCCATATTTATTTGATTTGTTCTCTTAACTCTGCCTCTTTTTAAATTCAAGCAAACTAAACTATTAAAATTCTTTTAAAGCTCCTCAAAATTATTCTTGAGTATATTTTAATGATTATTTTAGACTTGTCCATTTAAACCAAATCGATAAAATGGTTGTTCCTGGCTTGGTAGCACGTTCTTTCACATTCGAGTGAGGTTTGAGCATCTTATTAAAGTATTAAAGTATTGTATTTAAGTACAATATAATGTCGTTTCTCTTAACCAGTCCGAGTGAGAATCAGATGGTACATTTCAACAGTTCCTGGCAGTTTCAAATCCGCACTGATTTGTATCGCAATTTGATCGACTGTTCATAAAATATTGTATAATGCCTATGCTTAATGGCAGATCGAGCAAAGATCAGGCGTTTAACAATTTAAGTGTTAAATGATATCAACTAATTCCTATTTGGGGCATATATTTGTGTGTCAATATAACAAGTTGTACAATTAATTAAAAAATAACAATTAGTGCTTTAGTTAGCAATCTACAATATAATTTTTTATTGATTGACATTGATTTGACATTTTTGTTTGGGGATCACCTGTGTTCATATCTCACCCACATCGGTAAATGTATTAAAATTCTGAGTCATGCCGCTCCAAGTAACTTTTGATCTGAGGGTCTGACTCACCCCATCCAAGAGAAGCGCCAACTTGTCGCACGCCGATTGCAAGAAAGATAGTGTTATAAGTACACGCCCATGCTACATATAAAGTATGTTTGCACTCGCCTATATTCCCACCTTATGTATAATGGCAAGCACTTGGATTATCAATATTTATTGTTTGCGATTGTATACCATAAAAAAGTCAAGGATTTTATTTAGGTTTGTTGCAGAATAGGCCGTAAACAAAGTACACATATTGTAGTGTCGATTAAAAATATTATGAAATTCAGAAAGCTGAAATTTATTTTGTACAATTATAATTATAAGTAAGTTATCTAGTGAGTGCCTTAATTGCGTCTCTAAATTAGATTGCGAAAGCAATCAAAAGCGGCCTCCATCATAGGTTTCGCAGAATATGATTTATAATAGGTATTATCAGTGCGTTCCTATTTAGAATATTTAAAAAAAAAAGAGCAGAAGAATTGTTGATAACGTACATACTATTATCAAAAGCAGACACTAAAATAACTTATTTTAATCAGTTATATATATTGGGAAAAGAAATTTGTCTATAACTGATATTTATTAAGATCTTTTTATTGAGATTTTGCTACTTCCTAGACCAATTTTGGAAATCAAATATTGATATACACGCACGTGTAAAAAGTCCAATTAGCTACTGTCTCTAGCAGCTTTTAAAACATCGATATCTATTACATATGCCTTCCTTCGTTTTTACCTGAATTGCGCAAATATTCGATATAGAATTCTAATCGTTTTACAATAATGATAATGATAGTAATAATGGGGTGTATCCACCAATGCCATATCTAGTATATTTCAGTACTCCTTCTCTTTAGTAGTAAGAGTATAATTTCGTTACCAATTATTGTTTATCTATTATTCTATAGGCTTATTAACAAGCTGTTCGAGTATGGACAATTATTAAATGGTTTGAAAGTAAATTGATGAGAACATCATAAATTATGAAAGAGAGCCTTTTTCAGCAGCTAACTATCAAATATACGCACCAATAGTATATAGGACAGTTGATAGTATCGATTGTATTAACATTATTCCATAATTATGAATTAAATTACTCCTATCGATACTATTAAAAGAACTTAACACTAAGTATAGGCAGTGTGTTCTATAGTTTTTCAACATTTTTGATCGTTTATTTCTTATAAATAATTATACCCTGTACCTAAAGGGTACAAGGGTATATAAGTTTTGTGCGAGTGCACATGGAACACACAGAAGGAGGCTTGGTAGACCCCACAAAGTATATATATTCTTGATCAGCATGACAAGCCGAGTCGATATACCATGTCCGTCTGTCCGTCTGACCGTCTGTCCGTCTGTCTGTCCGTCTGTCTGTCTGTATGAACGCAAGGATCTCCGAAAGTATAAGAGCTAGAATAACCAAACTTGGTATACAGATTCTCCTGAGACCGAGAAAGGACGAGTTTGTTCATTTTTTCTGATACACCCCCCACTCCCCCCTATTACCGATTTTCTATAACTCCCGTAATTCTTGGAATTTTGAACTAAAATTTGGTAGTCATTTCATCAATTAGGTTAGTAATAATATATCCGTATACCAAGTTTCATTATGATAGAATGATCGGAAAGAAAGTTATAGCCATATAACCAGGCCCAATGCACACATACATACATATGTACGAGTACACAAACACGCATAAGGCACGATTCTGATGTAAATGTAAATGTATGTATGCATGCATGCATGGAATATTTTATATAATTAGTTAATATTTAGTTATTTAATTAAATTAATTTAGTTAATTAATTAAATTAAATTAATAATTAATATAACAGCCTAAGAAGAATTTTCATGCAAAGTTTGGTGGCGCTAGCTTCTATACCATTCAAGATCCCAGCGATCATACAGTCAAACAAAAACACAAAACTTTCAACTTTTTCAAGTATATAGTATATGTTTTCAATTTCTATCAATTCTACCCCACGGTGCGCATGCAACTAGCGCGCATCCAATGGGTGTTGTATATGTATGTCGGTGTTGTTGTCATTGTGGCCAACATTCTTGTTGTTGTTGCGGTTTTGTCTCTTTCGGAGGATGTATGTTACGTCCATGTGCCGCTCACAAATTTTCATTACTGTTTTGCATCCTTGTCGTTGTTGGAGCTCATGGCTTGGGCGTGGCACGATTCGTTAATCAAACCGACTTTAAATAATAATAATAACAACAGCTACAAAGTCTGTACATGAGAGACATTTTTAAAAATAAACGTTGCTTATAATTTTGTTGTCAAACACAATATTTTGCATTGTAATGGCAACCGATCCGCGCTTTCAATTGGCAATCAAGAGACCCCGTATTCAAATTAATGGTCCGACAATTTGTACAAACATGTGGGTGCAAATGTACAAATAAGTTAAAAGTCTTTCTACACACGTATATACATACGAGTATACATATCTATGAATATAGTATAGTTTAGAAATTTATATAAATTAATGGTCACAATTAGTAGAGTCGTTCGATATGTAAATTGTTGGACTTTGTGACAACAAAACATTGCAAAGATGAGCGCTCAGCATTCCGATATTGATTATGATTCCCCATATAACTAAACCGACCATTCGTAAATCTTTCCAATTGACTTGATAAGTTGCCACTGTTTGTAGAGAAACGTGCCGCTCGTGGCACTTTAATAGCTGCTGCTGTTTAGGTAACCACAACAGCTTATAAATATTGACCCAACTCGTATACCCATGACAGTTGAAATATACATCACACGTGCCAGATAATTACGTTTTCGCTTTGATTTATGACATTTGACATTCTAGAGGATATTCGTCACAGGTTGGCGTCCCAATTCGAAGCAACAAAGTCATCAAACGTTTTCCAATTTATTTGCATATTTCTTCAATTAACAACAAATTGCAATATTTATATTCGGATATTCTTTCTAAATTACAAAGTCTGGCAAGACTTTTGTCTGCAGTGGTTGAAAATATAAAAATCCGAGAGGTGGCAATAGAATTCGCCAGAAGCTAGAAATGTAAAATTAGTAAGCAATTAGTTTATTCTAACATTCAAATTCCTGTAAGAATACAATTTGTTTTGCTGGCCACTAGGCTTCAGGACGCTTCTCGTTCATCAATACGTCTTGGGTTTATCGGGTTTGACCTAAAACTGTTATGAAACTTCATCCATATCTCCACCATCTTTCATTGTTCCCGCAACTCCAGGATGACAACAATGGAGTTTACAATTTCACAAACAAATATACAAAACGCAAATATAAATATTTATATATATATCGACGATGCAAGTGCACGGAAATTTCGATCGAATTATATAGAACGAGAAGATAAATATAAAATAGATAGAAGATAAATAGAAGATAGATCGAATATAGATCGAATATAGATGGAAGATAAGATATGAGATAAAAGATATATAAAAGATAGATAGTATATGAATGAAATATTTATAGAAGATAAATTTAGGATAGGTAGAAAATATAGTCTGAAAATAAAAAAAAATGAAAGATAGATAGAAGATAGGTAGCATATAGATAGAAGATTAGATAGAAAAGATATATAAATGATAGTATATAAATATAATATTTATAGACGGTAAATGTAGCATAGGTAGAAAATAGATAGAAGATAGACAAAAGTCTGAAAATAAATAAAAGATAGATAGAATATAGGCAGCAGATAGATAGAATATAGATAGAAGATAGGCAGCAGATAGATAGAATATAGATAGAAGATAAGATATGAGATAAAAGATATATAAATTATAGATAGTATATAAATATAATATTTATAGAAGATATGTAAATGTAAGATAGATAGAAAATATTTAGAAAATAGAAAAAAATAGTCTGAAAATAAATAAATGATAGATAGAAGATACGTAGCAGATAGATAGAAGATTAGTATATTAAAAATAGGTATCAGATAGATAGAAGATAAATATAAGATAAATAGCTGACATTTTTAAACAAAATGAATATAGCTCTTAGTAAAATAAATAGGTCACCAATATTTCGCTTATTACCTTTTGAGAATTGTTTGGTCTCCACTCGCGTATAAACAATTATGTAAAAACTACTGCAAAATGTATTTAAATATGTGACTGCGACATATTAAGCAGGGAGACTTCTCACATACATACAAGTATGTATATACTCGTACATAGTTACGTATATCTGTAGCATCGTCTATCATTGTTGTTGTTGTTGTTGTTGTTGCTGCTGGCGCTGACATTTTAGTTGACATTTCGTAAACAAACAATTTATGTATTCTTCGTTATTTTGTTGCTTGCTAACTGCGACGAAATTTATTCTTTATCTAAGCGTTTTGTAGAATTATATACGAGGCATACAGATAGGCCGTAGCAGCGAAATGCACTTAGCCAAATTGTTTACCTGAATTTTAAAGATACATACTTACAAACATATACTATATAGTACATATGTCTAACAAACGCTGACGCGTGTGGTTTTCGGCCCCTCTCTGTGTTGTGCAAACATTTTTGATAGACTTATGCTCACAGGTTTATTGGGCGGCTATATAAAATAATAAATATACAAAGATATGCTAAAACACTCGGACTCTGACAACACCACGCATTAAACAAGAAAGGAATGCTAAAGTCGAGCAGGCTCAACTCTTAAATACCCTGTACCACCCCACAAAAAAGTAATTAAATTAATTTAATTAAATTAATTAATTAATTTAATTAAATTAATTAATTTAATTAATTAATTTAATTAATTAACTAAATTAATTTAATTAATTAACTAAATTAATTTAATTAATTAACTAAATATTCCATGCATGCATAGATACATTTACATTTACATCAGAATCGTGCCTTAAGCGTGTTTGTGTACTTGTACATATGTATGTATGTGTGCATTGGGCCTGGTTATATGGCTATAACTTTCTTTCCGATCATTCTATCATAATGAAACTTGGTATACGGATATACAATTACTAACTGGATGTGTCTACCAAATTTTAGTTCAAAATTCCAAGAATTACGGGAGTTATAGAAAATCGTTAATAGGGGGGGAGTGGGGGGGTGGATCAGAAAAAATGAACAAACTCGTCCTTTCTCGGTCTCAGGAGAATCTGTATACCAAGTTTGGTTATTCTAGCTCTTATACTTTCGGAGATCCTTGCGTTCATACAGACAGACAGACAGACAGACAGACGGACAGACGGACAGACGGACAGACGGACATGGCTATATCGACTCGGCTTGTCATGCTGATCAAGAATATATATACTTTGTGGGGTCTACCAAGCCTCCTTCTGTGTGTTCCATGTGCACTCGCACAAAACTAATATACCCTTGTACCCTTTGGGTACAGGGTATAAAAATTAGATATATACTCGTACTTAGTTTTTGAAGGAGAAACTTTCCTATTTACTGTCCATGCTCGGCCATACGGTGTCCATGAGTTTTGAATCGTTCTGATGGGTGTAATAAAAGAGTGCCGCTTGGCAATCCACTAGATGAAAGGGTATAGCGAACTGCCGATTTAGCTGCTCTACATTGTAGAGCTGATGATTCAGTTTATTCACCGCAATAGTCGCTGCCTGATTCGTTTGCGCTTTCAACAGCAAGGTGTTTAAAATGGATAGTTGAAGCCTCGCAATATCATATTTGTTTTCCAGTTCTTTTAGGAATATTTCCGTCTTTTTGGTGCAACAAACCTTCTCATTCTGCATGCATATAATGGCAAGTTTTAAATATTCAATGCGCACCTCTAAGGATATATTTTGATGGCAGATGGCCAATTTGCCTAAAATTTGCGCTGCCCGCATGTGTTGTCCATTTTTCTCGTAATACTTCCACAGCAGTTCGATTAAGCTTAGACTTTCTGGATTGCGACTTAGCTTGTGACACAGATAGACGCCTAGAGTTTGCTCCGATATGGCCAGCAACTCTTCAGTCATATCCTGCGAGAGCATCCACTCATAGAGCGTGACATGCAGTAGAGGATCCTTAAATGGCAAAACTAGTGATATTATGTTTGTGACAGAGCTCTCCTTCGCAACGCTAACATTCAGTGAAGAACTGCAATCGAAGAAATGCTCCTCATTTTTATCCTGCGGCTGATTAATGCTCTTTATATGATCTAACATTAATTCCACTTCCTTATAATAACTCATTCGCTTGCAATAGTGATCGTAGCCTTTGCTCTGCTTGGAACACTCATCATTGTTATAATACTGTATACCCAACTCGTCTGGATCACTTTCGGCGGCGCATATAACAACAAGTTCCACAACCCCCTCATAAAATCCCGCCACTATAAATTCCTCACAGATGCTGTGCAGCGGCAAGAACGGGGCCGCATCCTTATACATTTGCAGAGCAATGCGTAGCTTGTGATCCTTTTCCACGGCATTAGTACAGACTTTAGCCCTCATGAGTGTTTCAGTAGCTCTATGAATAACGACATCTTCGTGTCGGTAAAGATTGGGACAGACTTCACGCAAACCTATCGAAACCTCGCTCAGACTCGTGCTGTCCTTAAAATAGTGATCCACCAGCGAGATTATCAGAAATGTATACACCTCGGAGCGTGTGAGCAGCAAGTCTCGAAATGTGCAGCTCTGAAGAATTGCCTGCTGATCACAACTAAGTTGCCGGCATAGTGTTTGAAACCGATGTTCCAGCAGAAGTTTCCACAAAGCGATCACCTCAGAAGTATGTCTGATGAACTGATTTAAGGCTGAGAGCGAACGCATTTCCTCTAGTAGAGCCTTCTCTGCGACAATGTGATTATTAGCCATTATCTTAAGAGACATATAACTATTGGTTGATTGGCCATTTACATCGATAGCCGATAGAATTACGAGAAAAGTACGCAAGGACTTTAACTCCTCCAGCAGCTGAGAGCAATCGTTAGGGCTTAGTGTAGAGCATAGCTCGTCATCAACGCAATTCAGTTGCCAGATGGGGCGTAATAGACGCGATATATACAGATATAGCCCATCATGTTTGGCCGAGAAAAGAACGATGATGTTCTGGGGCCTGCCCATAGGAGTCATTGGTAGGCAGGGCTCGCCACCGTAAACCAAAAAGGCTTCCGTTGCCCATCTGGCTATTGCGCGTCCCCCATGTTCGTCTGATGTGGCCAGCAATAGAGCCGAGGCGCAAGCCTCCCGTTCCGTTTGCGTACGAAAATACATTTGTACCGCCTTGTGTTGGGGGCCCCCAGAAGTCAATAACAGCTGTTCCAGCATATCAGTGGACTTAAGTAACTCTATGATCTGTGTACCCTCCTTAGTTAAGAGCACAAGTTTGCTTGGACGGCGCATATTCCTCAGGAATGAGTTGTGTGCGGCTTGGCAAGGATCTTGATAGGTTGCCAAATCCCATGTTACTCCCTCCAGTGTTTCCAGTTCCGTAGACTCCACGTAATATGGAAAACCCGTGAAGGTTGTTGCGCTCACGGACCAAAGTAGTTGCTGCTTCTCACTACTAAGCAGCACTGTTGTGCCCCCCTTATAAAGTGCTGCGTACACTTTTTTGGGCTTTGTCGTTGTCGCATTTCTTGTATATCCGGGAGGGAGACGAACGTGCAACAAATATAAACCCCGAGTCTGCTTTTGACCATCTAGGGATGTCGTGGAGAAGTACAAACGCGCACCGCTTTGTGTGATTGCCAGTAGGTTTAAGTTTTTTGCATCCTCTATACTCAAAGGGCAAATCGCTTTTATGGACCTAAAGATTGTCGCATGGATAAAACGGCATCTGATCGCATGAACGGCTTGGCAGACAATACAGTATTCGTTGATTTTGCCAATTCTGCGTACCTTAGTATAATCCTCGCCCAAATCCCACGCTTCGATGTCACTATTTTCGGTCAGAGTGTAAAGCAAGCTACGACTATTATCAATCGCAATCCTTGTGATGGGATCCACATCTGCGAACATTCTCACAAAACTTGATACCCAATGAGTGACAATGCTCTGTGATAGATTAATTATTTTGCCACGTTTGCCGCCGATCCAACAAAAAGACGACTGATAATGAAACTCATAGAGGCATCCATCGCGTCCAGCCAAAAAGATGCGTCCATCCCGACTCCCCTGCATCGCAGTTATGGGGACATTATGGTTGCTCAGAACGAAAACAGGACTCTCCATTAGCTTCATTTGGGGGCATTCATTATTTTCGGGCAATCCTGTTTCCGTCAACTGGCTGTTCTCTTCTCCGAAAGTAACCCCCAATACAGTGACTTCCATGGACGTTGCGAGCAACAACAAATACTTAACAGACTCCACAAAAACCCCCTTTTTGGGTCTCACTAAGCAAACGCATTCAATTTTGTGCGTCAACTCATCATAATGGGTAACATCCATAGCACCATCGTAGGTCCACAAATAGATTTTCGATTCGATTGCCAGCCAAGCTCTTCCGATTTCAGGAAACAGTCCCATCTTGTGGCGACAATTGCTTTGCTTCAATTGTTCCGCAACCTCATCCGGATTTGCTGATTTGCTCACAGTTCTAAGTTGCTTGAAACTGTGGAGTGGATCCGAAGTCAAGTTTCCCAAGCTCTGGTAATCACAGCCATTGAGACCACTCGTTGTTATGTCTCCCTGTTTACTGATTCTTATAGACTCCAACCACCCCGACTTCTGTCCATCACGATTGCCATGCCAATCCAACTTATGTCCAACAGCCAGCAAGTCCAGCTTCGCCTTCGATGTATTCATTGTGGTCGTTTTTGTAAAAATCGGACTATAAAATGCTTGGACGCTACAAACTAAATGTTACTAAAAATTACACTTTAAATTAACTTAAAATTTGGACAATAATAATAAAATGTTGTTGATTGTTTTGGGATATGCTACTACTCTCAAGGTTGGGTTTAGATATGGGTTTAGTACTGAATAGGTTTTGGAATGTTTATTAAGTTGGGATTAGAATTATGTTGTTAAGTTAATTTGTGGATAGATGGCTTTTATGAGATTTACCAAATAAGGTTAGCTCATGGCTAAGTGTTGTAAGATTAGGTTTGTTGAAGTCCATTGAGCTCGGTAGACTTATTTAAACTAGATAAAAATGATCAGCTTGGAATTAAGTTCCGCATAAGGGGATGTTCTTATATTATGTAAGACATGGTCAAGGTCGTTGAGGCCGGCTTAATTCGCAAAGTTTAGGTGAGAATTGAGTAAGGATTGGTTTATTGACTTACCACTTTTAAGAAACCAACAGAACAGTCGTAGATCTCTTTGCGAGATAGCATCACTATTCTCTGTCTACCTCACATGGGTCCTTGGTCATAGGGTCATACAGGATAACTGTAGAAAGCTTTGCAAGCTAATCAAAAGCCACTGCTAGGCCGTGTTTAGGGCTATTACCGGGGACTGGATGGTACGACTTCTATCAAAGCTGTCGGAATGAGGAGGAGGCGGAAATACTGATTTACTGAAATTTTCCTCCAGAACCAATCGGCTTTATCAACGACAAGAAGCCGAGGGATATTTATAAAAACATCCAAACTTCTAGATGGCATCATTACGAACCAAAGCTAGGCCTGAGCGAGCTAGGGACATACCCCTGACTAACCTTATCTATGTAGATTTACATCGTTTAAGAAGAGCTTAAGTAAGGGATCAGTAGCATAAGGCTAGGTCAGAAAATATTTAAGTAAGCCTGCTATTAAGAAAGGTTAGGGTACGCTATAAATAAATCATCCAAGAAGTACCTAAAGCTTGTAGGTTATGCATTTATGGTGTATTTAGATTAAAGCTACGGCAAAGTATGCAAAGTATTTTGGACACAAATTTGTCGTTCAATTAAAGTAGACATTGAAAAGTGCCTATATTTCAATATAAAACTGTGATTTTTAAAAGGGGAATACAGTTTTTCTTAGAGTACAATAAAATAAATGAACCTCTTAACCACTTTCTATATTAATTGCCCAACCTTAACCTTTCTTTCAATCAAACTTACTAACCCCATCGGACAGCATCCACGTTTTCCCAACCCTTTCGAAAACAGTTCACTTCAATGCCAACATCCACTTGACATTGAGTGTGTTAGTTTATTCATACAGACTCGTATATCACAATAATTACCTATCATTATAGTTTATTAGAACACACTAAGCATCGTGAGCAGCGTGTGTTCGGTTCGCATTTCCCCAATGGAGTGTGTATCAGCCATATTTGATCTAACTATTGACTATTTTCATTATTGTTGCTGTCCTTGCGAGCAATCGGCACAGCAAGATCAAAAACTGCATTATGATTTGTTTTACAAATTTATTGCTTTTCAAATTAGTTTAAACATATGATATTAACACAAAGTGTAACAATTTAGCCAACCATTTGACAGACGGACAAGGATATGGATGGGTATGGGTATACAAGCAAGTATCAGTGACTGTCACATGCCCGAGCTATGTATCTGTTGTAGATTCAGCTGTTGCTGCTGTTTATGGCAGACAGCCAGACAGCAAAATGTCTACGCAAACAGCTCTATTAGTTTGGCACAAGGCGTGGCTATATTGTGACTGATAGACTCGTATATTGACAGACGCACACTTATGTTAGCCATAGAAAAAGCTCACTGTTGACCTTAGGCCAGCAACCTGGCTAAGCTGAGCAGCTCACATCAATCTACTTGTAGCTATTCATTTATGCTACTTGCACTCGTATTTGTGAGCAATCATTCAATTGAACAATGCCCGCAGCAAGGCTACGACTATCTGAACGCTTCATGCCAACCAGTTTAAACTTTAACCAGCTAGTGTTAACCAATTCGGCTCTATCGCTTCTGCGCCTTAAGGTTCTATGGAAATACATTTATCGAACACTTATCACAAATTTCAATGCTGTGTGGCCGTTAGTTTCCATTCTGGCCAAATAAACAAGAAAAAACTCCCTGCTCGTGACTGATAAGAACACACGGTACAGTAAATACAGAGAAAGTTCGTGATTAGGTTCCATTTTAAAATGTTCAACAATTTTCTGAATGAAATCAAGAAGCGTATCAGTATTGACTGAAAATTTGAGACTAAGCTTATGAAGTAAATTTTTTTTGTATTAGCAGAGTGTTTTTATTTAAAACTGTCCCTGGTGGATAATCATTAAATGTGTTAAATAAACTTGACGATTAATTATTTCATTTATGAATGTAATTTCTGATCCCGCAATATAGAAGAAAATGAAAAAAATATAATGCACATTTCTTCGGGAACAACAAAAATGTTTAATTAATAAAATTATCATAATGTTGTTTTGCCTTTTTTGGCGGGCATCTAAATGTATTATTTATAGTTGAAGCTATTGAACCAACAGATTTAGTACGTTGTAATGGTCTCTATGCGTGCTTACATTTTATAATCAATTTTATAATAGCTATACAATTAGCTTAATTATTTGTTGTTGAGGCTGCCAAAACATTCAGCTATTGTCTTTCTTTTTCTTACACAGTTTTTGCTCTTTCATTTTCTTTTGGATTGCGATTTAATATTTTAACTTAAACTTTTCTACTGCATGGCACAGAACTAATAATTCGATTCGGCTCGAGCGAGAAATAATTATAATTTCTTCAGCTAATGCTTAGATAGTATAGGTCTTTCCTTTATGCGAGTGCCGACTGTATATGCAAATGCAATCAAATTCCTATTTAATTATATGCACGATAACAGGCACAACAACAGCAACAACAATAACAACAACAGGCGTTTCAATTATAAATACAAGGCACATTCTTATCACAGCTACTCTATTTGCTTATGCTTTCCACCTTAGCCACCAAATAAGCCTCAAGACAAAGCGAAATGAAAGCGAAAAAAATAAAAGACCCAGCTGGCTGGCTTTGGCCAAAAAGGCAGCCGCCGATAAGCGGCCGGTCGATCCGGTCCGGTCCACAACAAAAGGTGCGAGTGTGAGTGTGAGGAAGAAGCAGAAATCGAATGAAAGCAGAACGTAATAAATTTCAATTACGTTGCTCGGCCGTCCACAGAAAAGACACCAATAACAACAACTACAACAACAACAGCAACTTTACAGACAGAATTTTCCAATGTTCTAAATTTTTCCTACAGCCCTTGTTTTGGGACAGACAGTCGTACATACATACAAGTATATCAACTATTTTGTACATACGAGTGTATTTGAATTCGTGCGTGGGATGGGATGATTGGGATGTTTGTGTCTCGTGATGCTCTTTGATTGCCCGCTGTCTGTTTGTCAGCAAACAAAAATACTTTACTTCAAAAATAGACAACAACAATAGCGACAGCATTGAGAGCAACCTGCATTTTGGTTTGTTTGGGGGTGTGGGGAGTAGGGAGTGGGATGGGGAGGATTCTGATAATCTGACGACGCCTTCACTATACTACGTGATGTGCCAGCAGTCACGTATTCCAATTTGTGACGTCAGTTTTGCAAACATGCAAATGCAACAGAATACAGATAAAAGAAAATATGCAAGATACTTCATTTAAGCGATCTTCCTATTTTGCAAGCTACACTAACTGCAGTTTTCTAATAATGAAGAGCTCCAAATATTCATCCTAAACGGTTAATAGAAGGAAATACCACAAAGATGTTTAATTCAGTCATCCTACCGACCAAATCAAATAATAATTAGTAATAAATGTTTAATATTTAAATAACAAATTCATAGAAGGAGGCAAATTTTTTGTGAGGTTATTTAAATTTGAGCATTTATTCATGAATTCGAACTTTTCAGGAGTCTGTTGCAATTTTTGAAGCGATTTCGTACTGCAATCCGTTTGCAATAAGTAACGCTTTTCAAATCTATAATACTACCGTCTACCAGCCAGACACTTATTCTCATTACCCTACCCTCGTATAACATTTATTTGGATTCTGGACCATTTTAAAATTCAGCAAAAGAGGCAGTTAAATACCCTCTAATTTCCCAGAATAATGACCACATCCTATAAAATCCCAACTTATTTATAAACACATATCCCCACTGCCACTCCCTAAACACACAAGGAACCACCTTTTAGAAGCATGATAAAATCCAGCAAGAACAAGCATTATTACATCTGCAAATTCTGCAAAACCCAAATACCCTAATACTACAACATTCCCGGCTCACGAGCCTTGCAGCTTCTTTCTCATTTATATAATTGTAATTACTTCAATTATAAACAATTTAAAACACAGCAAGTGCTGCTAGGGATATGCTTTTCAGCTCGTAATATTTTAGAAATATAATATACATATTTATTATCAAAATCAAAACATGGATACCATACCTATAGCTATACTGGCTGATTTATGGAAATGCGCATTTCGCACGTGAAAATGATTCACAAAAGAAATTTTGTGCGTCTTTCAATTGAACCCATTGGAATGGGAACCGTATTCGTGTTCGTTCATTCGTATCTGTGAACTGTAAGAAAATTTTAATTGAATACCGATCGCTTCGATCAGATAAACAACCCATATATCTTTTAAGTCTTGTGATACCATGATGGGCCATTTGTAATAATTCTATTGCATGCTCGTTTAAGTCTATAATTGATCGCCTAATATTTGACTCATTTGGCAGGCAAACCAAGCGAACAGAGTTAAATATTAAATGAATAATATTTACTTTTATTGCATAACAAGCTGCCGCTGACATTGACCCCAATAGTTGGCTCCCCATGTGGCAGCTGACAAATAAATATAAAATATATATAAATAATATATTTGAAATGTAACTGAAATGTGCAAACTGTCGCATGGCCTGTTGATAATATCGCAGGTTGCTTTTAAATAAATTATGT